CTGTTTCGCTCAAACACATTATATTATAATTTAAGAAATATTATCAATCGGATAATTATATATTTATATTATTATTATATTATCATTATATAAGAAATTTTCCCAAACATATTACTATATTACTTTTATCATGCGCCTTACCGCAGAGTACGGCAGACCGGCCATTTTTGCCATGTAACGTTCCTACTGGCCATCGCTATCTTATCTTATTTTATCTGTCACACGATTCTCACTTACCTATCCATTTCTATATTGCTATTATCGTTTTAAAATGTTAGTAACTTTACAGTCGTCGTGTCACTCGTGTGTAATTCGTATTTCGTGCTGTTGTCCGTAGTGTTTTCGTTTGTAGTTTCGTGTTCAATTATTCTGTTTTAAAATGTCACAAAAACGACAAGGTGAAATAAACTTTTTTTTTTAAAGTTGAAAACAAGTGACGAAAATAATCCATCTCCAAGTGAAGGTATGGAAAATGTAAGCGTGTTACCATCAGAGTCAGAGCCAGCTACATTTTCTGATTCGTGTGTATAGTCAATATGATATCGCATTTGCTATTGAAGAAAATGCAAATCTAAAAATTCGAAACGATCCAAATATGCTTAACAAATGTTTAAAAGAAACGTGATGGTCACCAAAACAAAATTATATTTTCCCTGTAAGCATGAATAAAAAAGGTCATAAAAGAAGCTTTCAAATTGAATGGCCAAATAAGCACAACTTGTTAGCTTATAGTCGTAATAGAGAAGGAGCGTTTTGTAAAGCATGTGTAATTTTTGGACCAAAGTTTGGTGGGATTGGAGGACAAAGGCTTGGGGTCTTAAAAGAAATTCCTATGATAAAATACAAAGATGCTTTACACGATTTTAAGATACATATGGAAAGAGAATATCATAAAACAGCAATTGTGCGGTCTTTGGAATTTATAAAATGTTTTGAAGACAAACAAAAAACAATATAAATTCAACTTGATGACCAACTAAATGAAACTGTCAAACAAAATAAAAAGAAGTTAATTCCTATAATTAAACAATTATTTTCTGTGGTCGTCATAATATAAGGGGGCATAGAGACGATGTTAATTTATCAAATCTGATTTAAAATGACCAAGCAAAAAATAATTTGAATGTTGGAATATTCAAAGAATTGTTGATGTTCAGAATAGACGCGGGTGATGTAGATTTTCGCAATCACTTAGAATCGGCTCCAAAAAATGCAACATTTGTTAGTAAAGCTATTCAAAATAATTTGATCGATATATGTGGCTCGATTATCACAGATGTCTGGTAAATACCGCGGAGTTCAAGCTAGAATCTTAAATTTAGCAACATGCACTCATTGAGCATCGCACTGCCTAAATTTAACGTTAATAAAAGCATGTAATGTATTATCAAAGGTTAGTAACCTTTGTGTGTTATAGTGACTATAAATGTAGTTACCAAAACAGAATAACCAGAAGAGACGGGGACCTAACCTAACCTTTTCAGTTTAACATGGGTTTTTATGGAGTACAGATGTGGTTACCATTCAAGTTAAATATTAAATTTTTTCCGGGCTTTTATTATTTGACTTATTAGTCACACCTAAATCATAATAATAAATATTAATTAAAGAACTTGAATACCTATAAAACTGGGCCTGAAGCTGATCTGGTTAATATTAAAAGTAAAGGCTACCTGATCCATCCAAATAATAAAATTTAAAAAATATTTATGTCATTAGAGTTATCATTTACTAAATTTGCTGATGCACCTTATGTTTTTGAAGATGCTTCTGAATATTTTTTAAGCTAAAATATAATTTTTAATTTCCCATGCATTGAACATTGAACAGATATACTAATGGATATTTKTCATATTATCTGATCATGAGAATGCGTCAATATAGCTATCAACAGAACCAAAATAACAAAAAAATTAATAAAACAAAAAAAAAAACCATCAAAATTGGATAAAAGCCAAAAAAAAATATTAATATAATATAGATATGATATAGATATAATTAAATTAATCTTTTAACTAATTCTATACATAATATAGATTTTGTTATTAAATAATATATTAATTTTCTAAACAAAAGATTCTTTTAAATGTTAGTTAAGATTAATGTCGAGAAGACTCATTCAAATAAATAAATATCTTTAGAATTTTCAAAAATAAATGATAAACTAATAAATCAATATATATCCTCATTATATAACACTTTCAGTACATTAGTGTTGTAACTTGAAAAATTAATTTCATATATTTATAGAATTTATCATTGTTTTTTACACAAAACTATTTTTACATCCAATTTAATAATCTTGATGTTATATTTTATAATTATTAAGTAAATAATTAAGTAACCAATAACCATAAAAAGTGTCATCAATGGGTGACTCCTTTTCTCAAATTATTTTTTTTTCCTGTGAATGTACTCTTAGCACATATTCTTATTGTATAAATGATACAATACATTGTATATTACTTGTCAAAAAAAAAAAATATTTAATATTTATAGGTTTCTAAAATTACAATATGCTTTATAAGTGTATTATCAGGAACTGCAGAATTTTTTACTAAGAAATCAAATATAGTAATAAAAAAAAATTGAAATATTGAGTTATCGTATTAAACTTACCATAATATTATTAGTTACAAAAGAGGTCTGAGAGTGCAATAATTCGTTAAAATAGCAATCACACAAAAGATTGTTGATATCTATGTAGAATGTAGATATATTAAACAAGATATAACATATCGTTTTACAGGAAATAAAATGGTAACCAATTTTGTTTGATACATATTTTATTTCTGATACATACCATTACCAATTAGCTATTTCGCTGATTTTCCGTATCGCTGTTGGTTTGTAAGATTGTACCATGATTGTATCCTGTATTGTTGGTACGCCATGTAAATTTATTGTTCGATACAATTATATGCCCTTAAATTGCCTATACAATACTCCGTCTCAAAAGTATGAATGTCGATGAACCTAATAAATAAAACACGTAAAAATTGAACGAAAGATAGATTTATTTTATATCGAATAATATAAAATGGATAATATTTTATTTGTATAAGTTATTAATTAGTATTGCTTATAAAATAAACAAATGATTTATTATAATAATATTACATTTAAGGCTTAAATTCTCAGGGCAACAAATTATGTCATAGTACCGTAAAGTGGCATCTAGTATGAATCAATATTATGATTGACGACTTAACGTATTTGATTAATGAGTCTTAACCATTCCTAAATTTAAATTTTAAAGTAAATATTATATATTAGTAATTACTTAATTTTAAATAATTATTTTTAACAAAGTAAGACATTTTTAATAACGGTTAATGTGCATTGTGCCTATGTTATACACCGAATGTCATGAAATTGCATTAAAATCAATCATTTATATAAAGAGACCAAATTAATTTTAATTTAAATGATGCGACGCAAATTATTCATCAACTATTGTTTTTAATTTTATATTCATTAATTTTCAATTTATTATATTTTTCTTGTTATTAACATAATTAATTTAACTCGAATTAAATATTATAGACATATTGTAATAATCTATCTATCGTTGCGCTTCAAATCGTTGGGTGTTGGGATTTGAATTTACTGCAGCGTGCGAGACATTTTCTTCCAGACCTTTATAGACTGCAGTACGAGAATAATAGTTTAGACTAGTTATACAAATCGATTTTCCGACGTGGATACACAGTCGCGGTCAGAAGTTATATGAGACGCATGTTATAGGTATATATTGTGCAATATTATTAAGTCGCTCGTCGCTGTCGGTTTATATATTTGTAATGCGCGCAGATGATTTTCACGATTTACTATTTATGGATCAGCGGCGGAGATAATGGCGGTCTCGTATATAATAATATGTATATACCTATATATCGGGAATGATTGAATACAAAATATGTGAGCAGGTCGAGCGTGAAAAACCCACAGACGAGTCTCATTATAATATATTACGCACGTCATTATGTGTATATTTACTATTTTACACTACATTATTATTATACTATTTGCCGTATGGCTATGATATATTTTATATTTTATATACGTATATTGTCGTATATTATTGTGTATTAAAGCTTTAAATATAAATCTCAACATCAGAGGCGTCGCGTCGTAAAATCTTATCGCTTGCGGCCTGCAGTGTCCAAAATGTGTATAATGAATGTCTTACGATGATCTGACATATGGAATAACTTTTGTTGTATTATACAGAAATATTTTTTAATACTGAAAATAAAAAACTTAAAAATTAATAAACATTTTTGGATAAATTCAAAATAGCCTATTTGTAATCTGCAGATTATAAGAACAATTTTTATGGTAAAAAGATTTATCTAATTCAAGCAGTTTATTTTTTTAAATTCAATATTTTTTGATTAAATGAATTTGGAACGCAATAACTTTAAAAAAATATGATTTTTAAGAATTTGCTAATATGAGAATATTTCTTAAATTATTTACTTATCATCTAATATTAACAATTTTTGTCATACTAACGCACGTTTAGTTGGCATTATTTTTTTATTTTTATTTGTCGAATCTATCTGAGATACTCTGTATATATATGTGTGTGTATGGTATATAAATATCTGAGTTTTATTTAATTAATTATGCTTTAAACAAAAAGTTCTTACCCATTTCATATACTCTTGTTTTATCCGCCAAGTCAACAGTTACCAAACTTTTTTTATGCTAGTCTCATTAAAAAAAGAACATTTTTCTTATACCTCTCTTATGATTCGTGAATAATACCAAATAAAATATGTGGCTATTTATTTCATTTAATAGTTATAATAGATATATACACACTTAATTATTTTAATACCTACATTTTCCTAGCAAAAGAAACAGCTTGTTCAGTATTTTATAAAATACAAAATGTTATGTTAAAATGTTGCAATTGTTGGTGGTTTAAAATCATCTTCCAGATAATTATTTAAAAGTGGAAATTTAACCATACCACAAGAATAGTTTAAAAATAGGCGTGTGCAGTATTACTTCACGGAGCCGCACAGATTCGGAACCCCTGCTTTACATAATATAATGTTATTATTACTATGCAGCGTATATAGGTTGCGGTGCTTAACCTTTGTCAATCACATATGTCAAACATACGAACATACACGGTCTATGAGTACCTATACTCGGTATATTTAAAAATTCTATAAATCAGATTTATAAATTGCACAATAATAATTGCGTTATTGGAGAAAGCGGAGTAGGAATTTTCGACGAATTACCATCAAGTATACTTATTATTTAAACTTTAATTTCCAAATAAAATGAATGTTGATTCAACATTTTATGCACTTTCTATAAACATCCATAAATATGAAATAAAAATTATATTGAAAAAAAGGTAAGAATCAAATAGTTTGGTATTATACAAATATGAACAAGAATACACTCATCATATTATGGGATAATTATTTTTACTAATTTTTTTGATTTAGTTATCGTATTATGCTTTCGTGTTAAAATATTGAAGTATGGATAAAAAGTCCAACACCGTTTTAATTTTGTAGTTTCGTGTTTTGCCTATATGATGCTTTGCGACAAAATTGTCTATTGGTTTCATCTGAAATCCAGAATTTTTCTCAATTTTCTGTCTGTGTATACCAGTATATACCTACTCAGTGTTGAATCCTGGTATACTTCAGGGGGGGGGGGGCGAATGCCCCCCTGAAATTTCTTTCACTCCCCTGACAAATACAACTTTCTGACTTTCAACAAAATGTACCTCTTTATTAAATGCACAATACTAATTTAAAAACAAATAATTAATAGGTTTCCAATTTATTTTGTAATTTTTTCAATATTTATAATTTCTGAATTGTAATAAATTATAATAATACAATTTATAATATGTGCCGACCTTAGATTAACCTTAGATTGATTTAAAAAAAAAAAAAATTAGTTTTCTAGTTTTATATAAATTTTAAATGTCTAAATTATAAATTGTAATAAGAATAACTACCTATTAATAGACATAATTCATAATACTAAAATTACGTATCACCATTCACCATTCACCAATGAAAAAAAGTGAGCCCCCCCAGAAAAATTGTCTGGATTCAACACTGTACCTATTTATAATACATTATTAAATATAACTATCGATTCCATATAATATTTTTAACACCAATTTTATGTAGGTATCTTTTATATTCAAGTTCAATATGTTCAAGTTTACTGTTGAAATGCTGAATATCGTGCTTGATTTATAGGTGAAAGTGTTTAAACTTCAGACTTTGAAGGCATTTTGTACGAACCTATTGACGCATCTGCAAACAATACAAAATTCGTCATTAAAGTGCATTATTGTCGCGATAAAAAAAAAGACTGAATTCCCAAGGTTACTGAATATGTTGGTTGTCATTATGTTATGTTTGACCGTATCAAATATTGGATATTATAATAATTAAAGCGGAATACCAAACGCGAAACGACATGTTATAAATTGAAATAGTAAATAATTATTATTTATTATACATATATATATATATATATATATTATGGCTTCTAATTATTGGTCACAAAAATCACCTATCACTGTTTGTTGAATAAAAAAAGACATTTAAAATAAATTAAATCAAATGAATATCCCTCCAATGAAAAAAAGTTGTCATTTTTTATAAATATGGACGAAATTACTAAAATCTTGCATATGGAAAATCTTCAAAGATAAAACATTGATAAAAATAAATGACTATATTCTGCACGATAGTAATTCATTAAATCATGAAAATTTAAGCAATGGATACTGCTATTTGGATATTTTATTCTTGGATATTTCTACCGGCCGTAACACGATTGCGGACTTTTTACCTTTTTACCTGAAAAAGACATAACACGATTGCGGACTTTTTACCTTTTAATATTTGAGAAAAAACAACACGATTGCGCACCTTATAAATATTTTACCTTTGAGCAAACACAAATATTTAAATAATTTGAAATAAATGGTTATAGTTTAAGAAACTCACCTATAGTGTAGTATACGTATACACAATTGCTACGGCCGGTGGATACTATTATTATATGGCGTATTATATCGGCATATTATTCCTTTTTTTGACGCGTAATTACTGTGATATATTATAAGTTTTTTTTACTATAGGTATACGTATCAAGTTATTATTAATGTTGGTAAGTTTATTTAAATATTTGTGTTTGCTCAAAGAAAAAATATTTAAAGTGCGCAATCGTGTTGTTTTTTTCCTCAAATATATAAAAAGGTAAAAAGTCCGCAATCGTGTTGCACCGATTTCTACCATAACCGATAGACTATAACTTCCCAGCTGTTTAAAGATTACAATTTTATCTCCGAAAACTTTTTTTTTCCTGGTTAGAACTGACAGCAGAGGAGGATCTGTTTGCAAAATACTACTCCTCAAGGCACATTAATTTAATATATTACGTTGTAAACATAATATTATAATTTATACAGTCATATTAAATTCTATGATGATGATGCGTATCTATATATTCTCTAGATTGAATTCATTACAGTTCAAGTTCTTTGTTTATGTTTTTGTTCTTCAACTTTGGTTCAAACTAAACACTATCAAAGTATCAAATAACACATCATATTAGTAAATTATTTAATAATGTGAAATCCTTGTTCTGATTCGAAAAATAGAAGACTACATCACCACAGGACCCTATACTATATATAGAATATCACAAAAATTATATGTCAAACATACGAAAATATACGGTCTACGATGAGTACCTATGTACTCGTATATTCGTAATATTTAAAAATTCTATAAATCAGATTTATAAATTGCACAATAATTGCATTAATGGAGAAAGCAGAGTAGGAAAGTTCGGCGAATTACCATCATGTATATATACATAATGTTGCTACTGTATTGTATATAATAATATGTTATTCAGTGATTTCAATTATGTATATCGGCTTTCGTCAAAGTGATGATTTGCAAGTTGAAAAAGACACTTATAAAATATATAATTTTGTACATATTTTTTATACTATCGTTGATTTTACGAGTGTAAATATCATATAATAGGTAACAAATCAGTTTTAGAAGTGCGTATATATATATATATATATATATATAATATATATATACAATACACGGGAATTTTTTACTCTATCACCATCATGGACGGCCGGACAAAATCATCATTATTTCGATCATTTTTAAAACAATACATGATTTCGCATTGTTTGCGCGTACACCTACCTTGAAATTAACGAATTAAAATCGCTGACCTCAAAGGTCTGTCCCATATTATAATTTCCGCGTCAATAAGAGCCAATAAACCTTATTTACAATGGCATCGGAGTGGGACTTGTAAACCACTGGAAAACCAGGGAAAAACGCTGACCTCCATTCCACTCAATGTCATTACGTGCAGACGTTTTGGGTATAAAACTGAACAACGCCGTGCACAGTTGTTAAATCATATTATTCACCGCTATGCATTTCAACGTGACGTTCGCCGCATGGCTTTTAGCCATATTATTCATAAGTCAAACTGTAAGTATATACGACTTTTTTTCACCGTAAAAATACTTCATAAATTTTGTTTCGTGTTTATTAAGTCTGTTCTTGTTTTATCTCGACGAACATTCGATTAGTGTAATTATATTATAATTTTATAGATCCAGCTATATGTATAGTGTATTTTTACTATTATTTATTCCACGGATACTTTTATCATTGGGTCAGCAATAATAAACTGATAACTGACAGTAACCAAAACTGTAATGCGTAGGCACTTAATTCACGCACTAATATTATTCATTTTTTTACATTCATATTGTGTATATTGATATTGAGATAAGAATAAATAGCGATCGGTAAACCTGACGATTTAATTTACATTTTTTTATGATTTGAAATAAATTGATCAATACGCTGAAACTCGACGCAATAAAATATTAGCAACATTAATTTTGATGCAAGACGTATAACATGTAACGGATGTAAAATGTAAATAACTAGGTCATTGATTCAGGTGTAATCGTTACAGATATGCGACGATAAAGACGATAAAGACGATAAAAAGGCAGACGACAGATCCAGCAGTGGTGGCGGAAGCGACTCACGTGCTACTAGTGGTAATAAAAATCCAAATCCAAATAATGGTAACATGTCGTCAGCTATGAATGGGATGTCCGGAATCCAGTTACCTATGTCCGGCATACAACTACCGTTCCCGTTTTTTCCGCCATTCGGATGTGACACGATATGCCAACCGATACAATTACAAATATTTCAGCAACAACCACAGCGTGAACCAGCGAGTAAGCCATTTGAAATAATTTTATTAATACACTATCGAATGGTAACAGATGCATAACCGAATATTTAAAACATTTAATAATAAACTAAACATTTAAAAACAAATGTCAATGTATACTGAAAACGATAAAAAATGAAATCTAAAAAAAAAGTTTGCTGATTTTTAAAGTACCTAAATAATACAAATTTCGATCAGAATTCAGTAAAATACATACTTTACGCAACAATATAATATAAGTAATATGTATTATACTTACAATTAGACAAATCGTATTTTGAATATATATAGGTTTGAAATATTTATATATCTTTATATGAAGCGTTTGGTATTATGATTTATGCTTTTTTGGCCGATTATGATTTTCAGTTTTGAAAACAAAACTTTTGTTACCCAAAACTATGTAATCGATGAAAAAAAAATTGAAAAGTTTAAAACTATGGAACTCTTTATGTGGTACATTTAGTGTAGTAAAACATTTCGGAATTGTACCTCAGTAGATAATTGATACCTAGGTATTATTTTGTCTGATATGACCGATTGTTATCCAAACTCGTCCAGACATATTTTTAATTGTAATAAGTTCATTTATTTTCACTGTTAATTTTTTCAAATCAAATTATAATATAATGCTATACACATTCATCCATACATGGTCGTATTCACCGGAGTGGGAATATGTGAGTTGGATCTCATCCCTATGTCCTTTAATATTAGTATGGTTAGCACTACACTGCGATTTTTCTTAAAAATAATAAATATATACCCCCCCCCCTCCTAAATGAGAATTCCTTTGTACGTTTCAGTATATATACACGTTAACAGAATAATTTACATAAATCCACATTTAAAAGTATCTATACTGTTCATAATGATAGTTAGCATGGGCATCCATGGGGGGGGGGGTAACCTAGACGGGGCATGTGCCCCTCCCTGGAAAAATTATATGAACATATATAATTTAATACATATTAGCATAACATTGACAACATAAAATGAAATAATTAACTTTTAAGATATGAGATAGGTTATTGTGTGTATCACTAGCGTTCATCGTGAAAAAGTGAACTTGAACAAAGGTAATTTAATTCAAGATAACATTAATATTTTTGGAATGAACCGAAGACTTTTTTATTATTTAACAATTCCGAATTATACATTTTAATATATTTTTCCTGCTTTTTGAATGGTACCTGTACTTATTAAAATGCATTTTAATTAATTACTACCTTATTTATTATCATAAAAATATTAATTTTATAAATAATAGCATATTTATATGTTGAAATTACATTAAACCTTTATTTAGCTTAAATTTAAGAATTTTGATATATTGTTGTACCCATCTGAAAAATTACCTATGGGCGCCCATGATAGGTAAGCACACGTTATTTCATTATAATTATTGCAAGATAATTTATATGAAGATTCAAGTTGTTAAATTATGCCACTTTGAATTTATTGTTGTTTTTCCACTTCTAAACACTCTTATGACAATTTCGTATATAAATAATTACCATAGCGTTTTCACGATTTCAGCCACACAACCTCCAACGACCATGCCGCCACCAAAAACCACCACACCACAGCATAAGCCGCAACCGACGACCACGCAAACGATCATAATGTATCCAAATTGGTAAGCAAGTGTATCAACCGTAGTCGTTACCCGTGCGCCGTTATAGGCACCTCAAAAATATTGTGTCGTCGCAATTCCGATCGCGTAAGATCGGCAGCACTTGTGTGATCGTCGATACATGTCACAATGTTGTCAAAAATGTACAATATTGTCAATTTGACGATTGCACATATTTTATTGAATAATATCACGTCGGTTGGCTGTGGTCGTAATGATATTAATAATACGATTTTTTGCAGGTGCCAGGGCTGGTGCAAGTTTTTCTATCAACCGCCACCGCAGCCAGTGTATTACCAGCCAAACTGTTTACTGTTTTCGTGGATGGGGATGTCCATGGGAATGGGATCGGAAATGGGTTCGGGAATGGGGTCGGGAATGGGGTCGGGAATGGGGTCGGGAATGGGATCGGGAATGGGATCGGGAATGCATACCGCGGGTTCGTGAGTCGTTCGTGGACTAGCCCGCAGTGTTCGACAAACACTGGATTGGAAACAATCGTCATTGCGGTAGTGATTCCATCATGTACCTAATTGCGTGTAGTATTTTTGTTTGTTCGTTCATTATTTATACGTATATTATGATGTATTGTAAAAACAACAATAATAAAAAAGAACAATTTTAAATTATTTTATTTTATTGTTATTTTTAATAAAATCAATTTTTTTTAAATCATTTTTACACATTACTATTCACGAGAACAATCGAATGATATGAATCCTTAAATCGTAAGAGCAATTCGTATCTATATACAAAATAAATATGTTTGTATATATCAATAAATAATATTTTACTAGGTAATTATCGATTAATACTAACGAGATATTGATTATAATAATTGTATTTATTTATTGTTTTCTTAAAAAAGGACAGACGGTGAGATGTCATGTGGAAATTTTCTTAACTAAACCAAAGAAAATAAATTAACAATTATATCGTTCATAATATTGTAGTCAACACCAAATAGTCTTACTTATAAAAATAATTATAAGTAGAAGTTTTTTAAAAAAAATAATAAAAATATCGAACAAACAAATTAATATCAGAACGAAGAAAAAAATAACAATATTTATTATTTTTGAAAAAGATTTTGATTTGATTCCACAAAAAAAAAATCAACTGCCTAAGGTACAACAATAATAAGCGAGTGAAACTTAATAGAATAGTTTAAAAAATGTAAAGTATTTACACTAAACAGTTGGTTTTTTATACAAATTATTTTTGGTGCAATTAGGTAGGCTTATCTTAGTACAATCATTACGGTTCTTTAAGTCCATCATTGAGTCATCGTTATCCAGCAGATTTGTCACATACATAACACAAATTCGGCAGAGTACCTACTTACTAGAAAAATCTTAGTAAGTTGTCTATGCGTTGCGTATGTTAGTATGAGGCGACACATTACCAGTCGCACCTTCGGCGACGACAATAACTCAACAACAGTCACAGAACATTATCAAGCCTACTTATCTAGTGTACGATTTCGTTAAAACTACACAATATTATACAAATAAATATATTTAAAAATTACAAAATTATAGTAGAATAGGTACTCATTTACACTAATAATCATAATAATAATAATAATAATAATAATAAATAAAAGGCTTAGAAACCAAACGGACCGTGTCGTTACGTCGAATTGAAGAGTATATTATATTCTAACATAAAAAGTATTTGACATTTTATACCTTCAAAACGTAATTTTTCCCGATTTTTTTTACAGATATTAGTCTCTTATTATCTAGAACTATTAGTTAAACGAAATAAATCGGGTTTGCCCGTTTGGTTTCTTTACACTTCGAATAACACTATAAGTCTTATTTTAACAGGTCTCAAATAGTTCCCAATGGTTTTCGGTTCGAATATTATAATTATTGCATTATATAATATAAGTATTTTTTTTTATAAGTGAAAAACTTTCCCAAGACTAGAGACCGTGATAGACTAGAAAAAATTGTTTACATCATGGAACTAAGAAATTGTTGACGCTGTGCTTAAAGATGTGACAGTCTTTCTAGTTGTTTTAAACTGTTTTGGTTGAAGTTTGTTTTTCACACTAACATTAAATTTAAACAAAATAGTAAGTTATAATAAAGAAACTATATAATCACAAAAAAAATAGGACCACTCTCAAGTGATACAAATCAAACAATTTTCGGGATGTGTATTTAAGTCTAAAAAATTGCACATTCTTTATATATATATATATATAATATAGTATATAATTTTTATAATAATATATGTATATGTATAATAACTATTTACAAACGGTGTATACAAAACGTTATAAAAAAATTAACTATGTCATAAACTGTCACTCACGTAGGTTGTGGTAACATTTCGTTGACCTAATCTCTAAAATTCGTTGTTCCACGACTTCTCTTCCTTAACACTGATAGCTTCCTGTTCGTGTTCGCCATCTGATTCTTGTTTTAAGGAACTGACTTCCGATGGTGTAGATCTACCAGACTTGTCTTCGTCGTTAACATCCGACGGTTCTACTCGAATGGTCTCCGACCTTCTTCTTTCGGTGCATCCATCGGCCGCTTGCATTACGCAAACGCCGTTTATTATTACTTCAGACTGCTGCTGCTGTTGCTTCTGTTCGGATTGCAACCAATCCGGGTTGACCCATTGTGGAGCAGCTGGTTTTCTGCGAGAACTTCCGACTACGGGTACAGCCGGGATTTCTTCTCGAGGTTCCGACTCTTCCGACCGGCTATCTTCGTCATCAAAGTCAGTGTCGACTTCATGTTTTACGCTTAAATCCAAACCAGACATTTGTTCATCCACCGTGGCAGAAGAGGATGACGTCAACATTGGTATGAAGGAAGACAGATCGGCGCCGTGTTGTAAATATGGATTTCCAGCGTTGAACGGAATTGGTAGACCACCGAAACCCAGTCGATGGCTCAAGAGAATCCTAAACTGAATTGGGTCGAATCCAGGACCAGATTGTGATTGTTGTTGCTGTGAATCAGAATGAGGTGATTGTTGCTTAATTCTCATTCTATGGTTGTGGAACCAGTTCGTTATTGTCCTAGTCGCTAAATTTAACTCCGATGCAAGAAACTCAATGGTACCAACACTCGGGTATTGATCCAAGGCAAATGCCAATTTCAATGCTTCTTTTTGTTCATCAGAAAACAGAACCTAAAAATAATATTTGTAAATTAGACAATAATATTACATAATTTCAAAAACATTTTCGAAACAAGGATTAAAACAAAAATATATTGTTTAATATTTATACGACTCTTACTCGTTGTTTTTTTGCGGCAGATGGAGGACTACTAGTTCCACTGTGATAAAAGTCAGAAGTGTCGTTCGACGATGTGTCACTTCCATTATCTTGTTGGCCAGATCCTCGTCGTCTTTTGTTCAACTMCCTACGTTCGCTTTTAATCGCTTGTAGTCTTTCCACGTTGTGTTGATCAGATAGCCAAAGTTGCATCCTAATGAATGGTTCACGGCCCTTAATGCTTAGCATATGCCACGGCTTAGGTTTTGATAGCAATTCACTGACTGATCCTTGAGAGAGTCCTAGTACAGCTTCACCGAAAATCTTTAAAAAAATAAATAGTTAGTAATAACTAATAAATATCTACAATTTATCAACTAAAAAAAATATATATATTTACTTTTTGTCCAATATTATTAGCAAGAAGTGCTTCTTTGATTTTAGTAGTTATAGTCTGTGTGTCAAGGTCTTGCGTTAGAGCAGCCATCTCATAAACTGAAGGTACAACAGCCGGTGGGTGACGTGTTCCAGAATTTTGGAAAGCTGCGGCCACGTGTTGTAACATCAGATTTTGAGGAATTCCATTGTTTGGTATTGGGCTTGCTTTAAGTTTATTTTCAGTGACCATTATTGATGCCAATTGACTTCCTGTGGACATTAATGATGAAGCAGTAGACGAAGTTGCGTGGTGATGTCCACCTGGAGACTGAAGTTGAATATGATGGTTGCTCGGTGATTGTAGTGATGATGCCATATCAGAGTCTTCAGACATTGTTGTCGATGTATTACACATTGATGTAAGTATATGATGATGCGGTGTTTGGCGATCCACATCTGCACTAACTTTTAAGAGATCGATAGGTGAAGGGGTCATTTTGCCACCAAAAGTGTGAGTTGATTTTACTAAATTCTGATTCATAGCTATAAATGAAAAATAAAAATATTTTTACAAAGGTATAAAAAAAATTATTTAAATATTATAGTGTCTTATTGGGTAGTACGAAATCATTATAATACTTACGACTTGATCCGCCATATCCTCCAGTTCGCATAAGCTTTTCTGGTGCTATTTTATATTGGGAAGCAACTAGTTTATGCACAGCTTTATCATCCTCCAAAAACATTTTCATTCTTATAAAGGGTTCTCTTCCCTTTTGAGTCAACATATGCCATGGTTTTGGTCTAGCCAAGAGATCGGACACACTTCCCTGAGAAAGACCCAATACAGATTCTCCAAATAGTCTCTGGCTGATTGAAAATTGACTAAGTTGTTCTTTGACTTTCCTCACAATTTCTTCAGTATTCAAATTATTAAATTGGTCAAACTGTTGTTGAGTAATTGGTGGCAATACAGCTTTCAGAGGTCTCTGCGAAGGAGAATGATGATGTGGAGTAGCGGGTTGAGAAATCAAAGCATTTGTAATTGAAGCCATTCTTTGAAGTGGACTAACTGCGGCCGATTGACCGAAGTCCTCGGGAGGTAAAATATTATTACCTAATGGTGAGCTAGCTGAGCTTCCAACAGAAGATGTACCACCTAATTTTAACAAAAAACAAATATAAATATACTATGTACTACACAATATATAATTTAAACATAAGTGGTATATTGTATATATATAAATTGTATGGTATTATGATTGATATTTCTACAATACAATTTTTTTTTGTAATATTTTATTTAAATAAACAAATAACTTACTTTGTTCAGTTTTAGGTCGTACAAGCGAAAAAGCACTTCCGGCTTGTTTCATTGCTTCTGCTACAGTTTCAGACTCTTTGTCTGAGACTTCAGTCCCATTAACTTTAACTGCAAAATCTTTTCGCTGCACAAAGGGATATATATCTTTTCTATCTTTTGGTAAAGACAAGTCTTGAGCAATACCGGTTCCTTGTATGGTATTGTTATTGTTATTATTATTGTTGTTTGACATCGCTGCAACGGCAGCTTGTTGTTGAAGAGCTAACAATCCTGACAATTGGCTCTGTGGGCAGTTTTGTAATTTTGATAATTCTCTGTGGTAAGCATCCAATGCAGTTCGAATATCATCGTGGTTGCCGGTATGATTTCCGAAGAAATGAGGGAAGAGCCAACTAAAAACATTTTTCGATATTAATAAACATGAACTTATTGATTTTAAAATATAAATAATAATTAAAAAATATAATAATAATTAGACTCACCCTGCAAACGGCTGTTCACCACTTCTCATAGAGTCTTCCAAACGTTTGCCCATGATTTTTGATAGCTCTTCTTGATACAATCGAGCCACTTGTTCTTGTGGTATATCTTCTTTGGGTCTTTGCCTGGACGGGGATGTGCTCTGTATAAAATAATTAAAAATTAATACAATTCAATAAATAAACAGATATTATAATAATATT